TTCGTCTGAAAGTATTACAAACTAATCTGATGTACCTATTAAAGTCTACTTTATGATTTAAATCAATGAATCTTCAAAACTACTGAACTGAAGTACATCAATTTTATATCATTGTAAAGGGAATTGAAAGACCTTTAAAATAAGGTATCACTCGACCCCCCTTTCCATTTAAGATTTTAGGGTTGGTGTCACCCCCGCCCAGGGGGCTGCACGTGATAACGTGATTTTTTGCCAAACTTGTGTCCCCCTCGAAAACAAAATCGACGGGTCTGAGCGTTTTTCCAAAAAAAAAACTGAACTGCCAGTAAATGCGTCTGTTTCGTTTTCGATGCGCCACCCTGTATATACGAGAATATATAAATCGCAAATTTGTATGTCAGAGAAGGACATGTCAACCAATACTGAGCTCCATACTAATACATGAATGTACTCTCAAAAAGTCGTCTGAATGTTTATGGTTTCATCTTAAGCCCGATACTTGTATTGCAATACAGTCAATTTAAAAGCTTAGATTTGAATCGAAGTTACCAAATACATATTTTGGAAGCATGATTTATATTTTTTATTGTTATCGTTATAACTATTACAAGGGCATTGTTAAAAACGTTAGAAAAAAATCGAATATCCATATAAACAACACGTATTATACATTCGTGACATTTGGTTTTTCACAATCATTTGCATCGAAGAAAATCCAAGCAGGGAGTCGATAATAACGAATATAAAAACTACCTTGCATAACGAAAACGTTATATTATATTGCAAAACACCTCCATAAACTTTTTCCTTAATGAGCTCAAATTAATTAGCGTATTCTATGTTATCGTTTTCATTCATCTTATCTGCTGCTCTGGAAATAGAAACAAGAGGATCTTTACAGTAAACAAAAGATTTAGCACTTGCAACATACCAAGTAGTTGCATAGTTTTTGTGATATCATCTTTAGGCGCTTCTGGGAATAAAACAGAATTAATGCACTAATCTGAATTTGGCACTGAGCACATGTAAACATTTTAATTCATAAGCATACACTGCGCGCCAAAAGATATGGACTACCCGAGATATTTTTACCAGACTGCTTCATAAGTATACAGGCTGTTAGGGAAATAATATTTGTCACTTTAAGAGGTGATTCCTTGCATTATTCTAAGCAAAAAGTTCATTATAACTTATGTCTGAAAAACAATCGTTTTCGAGGAAAGTGAGTCGTAAATAATTAAATCATCTCAAACATTTGGCAACGCTGCAACGCAACCGCGATACGAGCGCACGACGACCTCAATTGATTCATCGAATTGTTTACGTTTGTATGATATTTCTGTTGACTTCTAGGCATTTTTTTGTGACTACTATTGTTTATTTAATAACGCTTTCAGTACAGTACATTTACTTAAAAAAAATGACAAAACTTACCGGTACGTGGCGATACACACCACCAATTCCCACGATTCACTGATCAACAGCCAAAAAATATCCTAAATAAAATCAACAAAATATTACTATTTTTAATGTGCTAAAACCGGAATGAAACTTATTTTTTCAATACTAGTTCAAGTTCTAGAGATACGGTAGTTATATGTGTTCCTGCTGTGACAGTGTTAATATACTGTAATTCACAAGAATGCACGTGCTACATTTTTATATTCGGCAAGGATTGATGATGTAATCGGCATGATTGTGTTACGTTATACATACGTGTACATTATATTGTTTTATATTAGCCATTTTTTCCTCAGTTGGCTGACAGCGTTCATGCAAGATGTCGCGAAAGTGTGTAAACAATCCAGATCAGTTTTGTTACGTGTGTGGTGATGTGACGTTTGCGTCTCAGAGACGATCTATTACTCCACTAATAACAAAGGCATATCAGCTTTATTTCGGTTGTAAACTAGGTGATCAAGACAAACAGTGGGCACCCCACATCTGCTGTAATACATGTGCTTCAAGTCTGAGGAGCTGGTTAAATGGCAAAAAACGGTCTATGCGCTTTGCTGTCCCAATGGTTTGGAGAGAACCTACAAATCATATTAATGACGATGAATGCTTTTGCATGGTACCTTGTGTTGGACAAGCCACAGGTATGTCCAAGAAAAAAAATCGGTTATTAACTACCCAAACATACCATCTGCGATGAGACCTGTGCCTCACAGTGACGAAAATCCTATTCCAAAACCTCCAGAATCCTACACTTGCGAATCAGAAAACGAATCAGATCATGGCGATCGAGTGATTCGTCAGGAAGAAGATATGCCATCAACGTCAAGAGATCCTGATTTAACAAATAACACAGTCAGAATTAAATGATCTTGTAAGAGATTTAGAACTTCCAAAATGTAAGGCTGAGTTACTTGGATCAAGACTGCAGCAGTGGAACTTGTTAGAAGACGATGTTTCGGTATGTGTTTTTCGTAAACGCCACAAAGACTTAGAACCATTTTTCAATATGGAGAATAACTTGGTTTTCTGCAGTGACATTAACGGCTTACTGGCGGCTTTAAATATAAATTATAACCCAGAAGAATGGAGATTGTTTATAGACAGTTCAACATTGAGTTTAAAGGCAGTGTTATTGCATATTGGAAATATTTTACCATCTCTTCCTGTAGGGTATGCAGTTCACATGAAAGAATCATATGACCATATGAAGTACCTATTGACATGCATAAAATACGATGAGCACCAATGGCATATTTATGGCGATTTGAAAGTTGTTGCACTTTTACTTGGGCTGCAGCTAGGCTACACAAAGTTTTGCTGTTTTTTGTGTGAATGGGACAGTCGGGCAAAGGCACTTCATTACACCAGACAAAACTGGCCTGTTCGTCAATCCCTAGAGCCAGGTCAAAAAAAATGTACAGCATATGCCATTAGTAGATTCGAAAAAAAATTTATTACCAACACTGCATATCAAGTTGGGCCTAATGAAAAACTTTGTCAAGGCATTAGATAGAGATGGGTCAGCTTTTCAATACCTGCGTCAGAAATTTCCAAGACTAAGTGAGGCAAAGGTTAAAGAAGGTATTTTTGTTGGGCCACAGATTCGAAATATTCTGAAAGATACACAGTTTGAAAACACTTTAACAGGTATTGAAAAAACTGCTTGGAATGATTTCCGTCTGGTGGTCACTAATTTCTTGGGAAATAGAAAAGCTGACAACTATAAAATTCTTGTCAAAAATATGCTGTCATCGTATCAAAAGATGGGCTGTAATATGTCTCTTAAGATACATTCCCTACACTCACACCTGGACTTTTTTCCTGACAATTGCGGAGCCGTAAGTGATGAGCAAGGCGAACGTTTTCATCAGGATATTTCAACAATGGAAAAAAGGTACCAGGGAAAGTGGAATCCTTCCATGCTTGCAGACTACTGTTGGACTCTTGGTAGAGATGCTCCAGAAACGATCCATAAAAGAACAGCAAAAAGACAGCGCATATAGTGATTCTTATAAGTATATGAATCTTGTTACTTTTTTTAATATATCCTTAAAAATAAAAAGTTTTTTTTCTAAACCGCAACTAATTTTTTTATTTCATTGTCATTTTTGGATTGAGCGCCCCAAAATTAACCAAAAAGTGCACCTTTCCCACAAGATACAATTAAAAAACTAAAATTTGTTGTCCAGTGTTATCAGTCACTTGTTTGAAAGGATGCGATGCACGAAAAAAGAAAAAACCAACATCCGTAAATCACATAAAGTTACAGTTAAATGCCTTAGTAATCACAACAACACGCAATGATACATGCAGTACAGACGGAGTACGAGGTTGCCAGTTATGTGAGGGTTTTTGTTTGTCTATTTTTCTTCGTAAATTTGTATTTAATAAGCAAGAAAATTATTTTGTTAGAGACAGCTATTGATATTGTATTGTATTGATACATTTTACGCTATTAGGCATATTTAAATTAATTTATTTCATGACTAAAAAGAAATAAGTCCAGCATTTCTTTGCTCCGAAACGGTTGATTTTTGGACATAGGTTATAATGAACTTTTTTGCTTAGAATAATGCAAGGAATCACCTCTTAAAGTTACGAATATTATTTCCCTAACACCCCGTATACGTTTTTACTACCACCGTAATGAATGGGTGATATGCATAAAGGAGAGTGGCTACTTTTGACTCGCATTTTTAAAGTAGCCACTCCATTTGATATGCATAAAAATGTTAGTAGAAGCTCACACTCATAAGTTTCTACTCTTTCCGTGAGGCTGTACTCGCTCCTTGAGTGCCGACTTCAATTTTTATATGAATAAAAGTGAGCGTCCACTCTGACCGCTGAGTGCATACTTGAAGAAATGCGAGATTCCTTAGTAGTAGACTCAGCTTTATAAGAAGTGGACGAAATGGCCGAATTTATGCTTATTTATCAGCCTACGAAGGTGTTTAAAGATCGTAGGGAATCAAGTGAAGTAGACTATCGGCCTTATATCGGTTTAGTAAAGTTAATGTTGAGTGGATAAGTAACCATTTTTTTGGATAGACAGAAGAATATAGGGGCGGTGCTTTGAGCAATATAGAAAGAATGAGGGTTTTTTTACGATATTTGGGTGATCCAGGATTTCAAATTGTCATAGGAGAAGCTATTGGCGTCCATCAATCTACGGCATCCCGAACCGTTTCGAACGTTATAACACGCATTGTGCAGAAGTCGAACATTTGGGTTAGATTCCCAACCACATTTGAAGATCTACACAATGCTAAAAATGAGTGGCAAGAGAAGTTCAATTTTCCTTCAGCTATTGGTGCTATCGACTGCACCCATATACCGATTCTGAACCCGTTTATTCATGCAGACGAATATGTGAACAGAAAGAACTTTGCTAGTATAAATGTACAAGCAACGTGCAATTCAAACGAAGAGTTCACAAGTGTGGATGTTTCTTGGCCAGGATCTGTACACGACTCTCGGATATGGAAGAATTCTGATATATGAAATGGTATAGGGCTAGTGCTGTTTTGTTGGGAGACTCTGGGTATGTTATAGCTCCTTGGCTCATGACTTCTTTTAGGATTGCAGAAACAGCAGAACAAAGATCATACAATCGGCTGTTTACGAGAGAGCGAGTTATAATAGAGAGATGTTCCGGGCAACTAAAACAGCGATTTCCCATTCTACATAACAAAATACGCGTCGATACAGAAAAAGTGCCCTCTCTGAGTTGTTTTATCTTGCATAATGTGGCTAAGCACCTTAATGATGAAGATTTTGCTGTTGATATACCGGGAGATGGCGAACAAGAAGAAATCCATAATCAACATGCTGCTGACTATGCAGATGGAGTGATACGTCAGAGAGATCAATTTAGAAGAGATGCAATATCAAGAATTATTCATGGCTGTCGGGTCTAAGTAAGTATCTAGCATGATCCAAATTTACAAATTATGTAGATATACGTTGAAGAACGATGTTTAATTACTCATAACAAAAATTAAATTAATAACACTTTCAAAATGGCAACTTAAGAGAAAGTTCTTAAAATTAATAAAAAATAAGATTTATGAAACATGAAGTACTTTTGTCAGTCCTGTCCTAGAAATAGGCTCATGAAAATTGGATTTCCAGTTTCTGCACTTTCATTTAAAGTTGATAAATTTGGATCAGATTCATTAATATTTTTCTTGTGAAGTAGCAGTTCCTTAGCTAGCCGAAACACTTGTATTTGTTCAAGTAAAACGAGACGTTGGAGCTCTGTTATTGATAAATCTCGTGCTTCATCAGTTTCCACTAATCCTCGTTTTCCTTTTTTTTAGAAGGCTCCTTACTGGGTCCAGCTTTCATTGTGGTAGCTTTCAGTACTAGTCCAGAACTTCCAGATGCTTCTTCGGTGATTGTTTCTTCTTCAGCACAGGCTGTTGTAGTGTAATCAACGCTTTTTTGTGGGCAACCTGCCACAACAGCACCTAAAATTTAAAATATATGCTATTTATATTTATTGACATGTATATATATATATATATATTATACTCAATCACATCTTATACCTACTGTATGGAAAAACAAAAAAATACAACTAACATTGCAATCGAGCAATACTAGGATTTGGTTCTCCTTGTAGAAAATTGAACAGTTCTTGTTCCCATCCTTTCAATTTTATTGGTTTGTTTCCGGTTTGATATCTGTCTGTCTTCGCTTTTAATCTGGTTTTTATGTTTTGAATCTTCTTCCAAATCTCCCCTTCATTATATTTAACTCCTAATTCGGCTTCTACCTTTTCTTTTATTTCTTTTCTTCAGCCGCCTTACGTCGTTTATTTTTGATTTCCGGGATGTTAGATTTTTCCAACAAAACAGGATACTGTTTAATTATATCAACAATACTGTTTGATTTTCAGATGAATGGTCTTCAGAATAGGTTGACATCATGTAAATGAACAAATAATAATCGTCCTAAACACCACCGACACAAACGTTTACCGGTATGCAGTAGTAACTGCTCGCAATAGAGAAATTGCCAATTCGACGAGACAACAAAATACAAGTCGGAACTCGAAAACCAGAGTGCCTACTCAAGTATTTCATTAGCACTTGAGTAGCCTCTCCGTTTCTCGACAAATATTTTATGCATATTAAAACCGAGTATGCTCTCCCTAACAGGAGTAGTTACTCGCTACAATATGGAGTCGCTACTTCTGAGAACCCACTCGCCTTTATGCATATCACCCAATGTGTCGCTTTTCCACAGGCATTTCAGTTTGGACGCATGGCGTACAGTGGTCTAGAGCACCCAAAAGCTATCAAAAAGTCAAAAAATGAAGTAATGCACCATGTACTTGAAAGTTGATACCGGGAATTATTATTTGACCATGAAAACAAAACCTTCTTTACACCATCTTCGCTATGAAAGATCGTCATACTTAAAGTTTGTGGCACATAATTTGTTTTATTTTTTTTATGGTGACATTCTACCTCATCCATCATTTTGCGTTTTGAAAAAATCAAGATATCGAAAAAAGAAGGTGGTGTTGAATGGGAATGTGTCGGATGCTCTGGGAGTAGTTGCAGGTGTGCCCCAGGAATCAATACTGGGTCCTTTACTGTATATTGTCTATACATCAAAATTTCCAAAATCTGTCAAATACTCAGAACTACAGTTATATGCGGGTGATACGCAACTTCTTTATTCGTTTCGCCTAGATGAAGTAGATGAAGGTTGTCATCGAATATGCTCTGATCTCAAAAGTATCTCCGATATCTCCAAACAGCACTCCTTGTACCTCAACCCTGATAAGTCAAATTTTATTATTTTTGGTCCCAAAAAAATGAGGAATCTTCTTACGAACAGAATAAATATTAATATCAATGGCGTTACTATAAATAGGCAAACTGAAGTAAAAAAATTAGGTGTACTTCTTGATGAGGACCTGCGTTTTAAAAATCACATAACAAACTGTACATCAGAAAGGCTTTCAGCAACCTGATAAGTATCTATGGCTATAGAGTTTTGTTGAATATGAATACCAAAATTTTATTAACAAATGTTCTTGTGCTATCACATTTTAACATCTGTAACGTTCTGTATAGTAAGTGTATAGACCAAAATGATGCAAAAAAGATACAAAAGGTTCAAAACTCGTATTTACGACTCATCCATGGAATTCGACGTAGAGAAGGCATTTCACATAAGTTAGTAGAAACAAGCTGGCTAAATATGAAAGATAGACGAGAGCTGCATAGCGCATGCTTCTATCATAAGGTTGTAACTATGAAAACTCCTTCGAGTTTATATAATAAAAAATAAACCTTCGCCGAGATGCACACAATGTAAACATAAGGTCTAAAACCACGATCACATAACCAGCTCATTATACTGCTCTATTTGAAAGATCTTTTTCTTATAACATTTCCAAAATATATAACGCTGTCCCTCAATACTTGAAATCCAAATCGCTATATAATTTGTCTAAATGCTACTTCCATTTTCTGAGATCTCGCTACAATAATTAATAACATCGAATATCTAAATGTTTTTTGTTTCTATGCACATACCTAAATTACATATATATGATTATACCTACCTTACATTGTACGCTTTTCCTTAACTTGTTTATGTCTTTTTTTGTATTCTGTGAATTTTTTCATTTCATTTCTTCTATATATACAGGGTGACTTTGAAGTTGAGTCATTAATTTTCAGATAATGATTGTAGAAGGAAGATAAACCAAAATATGTGTGTAAAAATTGAAAAAAAATTAAAAAAAATTTTTACCTTGTTTTATAAAGTATCCTCCCGACAAGTATTTCAGTGCGGACCTGTATTTGATCGTGAGGTCTTGGAGCACCGGCATGCCGTCCATATGTGAGGTCTTAAGTCAAATGATTTACGAACCCGTTGTACTACATTAACAAAGGCACGAGGGGTTGGTTGCACTCGATTGGGAAACCGATCCGCATAAACATGTGCCATTTTTTATTCCGTTTGAGCCACGCAACAGACACCACTATCCACTACCGACTGACACTGACTGTTTACAACTGAATGAAATAATTGTAAAAACATCGTTCCAAATTCTTTCGCTTTTTTGTTTCCGATGCGATGAACCGATAAGGCGAATTATATCCGTTGTCGCCAAACACGAGCACATATTATTATTGAGACAGGGCGGTACTCAAACTTCCAAAGGGCTATAACTTTGTTACTTTAATTTTACCAGAAAAATGGTAAAGGAAAAAAACATTTCTTTTGATCAGATCTACTCACTGTTAAAATAAATGACTCAACTTCGAAGTCACCCTGTATATTAGTTATTCATGCTTTCAAAAAGGCTATTGTTTGGATATTACTACGGTAACATATACTACTCGTATATCTTTTCTTTTAAGCTTTTAAGTTAGTTAAGTAGATTTTGTTAGGTTAAGTGGAAGACCAGCCATTCCTCTATAGGAATGAAAGCTGAACTTCGCCTTTTCCAACTATCACTTCCATATCTCTGTACCTTGGTACCAACGAATAAAGATGATTATTATTATTATTATTATCTCAATACGGATTCTACTAAAGAAGCTAAGCTACAATATTTTATCTGATATGTAATAAATATGTGTCCTGATTGTCGTATTCACGCACACCGTGGGTTAAATGTGTCAGTACCTTTCTGTCATTTTTTCTGTTACTATAAGGTTCCGCCCTTTGTCCCCGTTGGACTTATTTATGTTTGAGAACCCCTTTTTCTATTCAAAGATAAAGATTGGCTCAACTGCATAATAAAATTTACAAGGAAGATCAACCCAAGAAAACCAAGCACTAAAGGCCGACCAAAATCTAGATTCACTAATAGTTCTGAAACAACTAAAAGATTTAAAACTTTCGAACTACGAACCAGCACGCCCGCTCAAGGATTGACGTATGCATCACAAATTAAATTAAGAGCACAGGGAAATATAATCGATGCAAAATTAATCAAATGTTTATTTAACCTCAGAATCGTTCTTCCAGATATATGTCTACAGGGTGACTTTGAAGTTGAGTCATTAATTTTCAGATAATGATTGTAGAAGGAAGATAAACCAAAATATGTGTATAAAAATAAAAAAAATATAAAAAAAAATTATTACCTTGTTTTATAAAGTATCCTCCCGACAAGTATTTCAGTGCGGACCTGTATTTGATCGTGAGGTCCCCTGTGAGGTCTGAAGTCACCTGATTCACGAGCCCGTTGTACTACATTAACAAAGGCACGAGGGGTTGGTTGCACTCGATTGGGAAACCGATCCGCATAAACATGTGCCATTTTTTATTTCGTTTGAGCCACGCAACAGACACTATTCACACGCGACTGTATGTACGAGTATAACTGAACTGAATAAAATAAACATCGTTCCAAATTCTTTCGCTTTTTTGTTTCCGATGCGATGAACCGATAAGGTGGATTATATCCGTTGTTGCCAAACACGAGTACATGATATTATTGAGACAGGGCGGTACTCAAACTTCCAAAGGGCTATAACTTTGTTACTTTAATTTTACCAGAAAAATGGTAAAGGAAAAAAACATTTCTTTTGATCATATCTACTCACTGTTAAAATAAATGACTTCGAAGTCACCCTGTATAATCATATCGTATTTTCTTGTTACGTTTGAAATATAATATTTCTGTATTTTTCGATGAATCTTTCTTATTCGCCTCTCACTATAATACTACAATTATCCAATCTCCTATCAAACATCATAATATCAACTTATTTCAAGGCTCCATCGCCATATTCGATACGCCATGTTGAATTTCTGATTTCTGACAGCAGATTTGAAATCAACCTCAAAAATTCTTCTGTACCAAATTTCGTAAGGATGCTACATGAGTTTTGCAGCTTTTTTGGTATTCTAGATCACTGTGCGACGCGACGTGCCGAAAAGTAAAAATGTCACCGATAAATTTAATCATGTCATTGTCAACATAAATGAAATGGAGCTGTCACATTCCGAAGGCTGATTGAATATGATACTTGGTTGATTTGTTTCAGTTTATTGTTGTTTTTCTCCTCGTGTTAGGGAATTAAACAAATCCATCTCCAGGACCTGGGTAGCCCGCTGTATCAGACTGTGGAGCTACTGATACATTGGCTAGACGGGTCATGTGGATTTTCTGCTTCATTTGAGTGCATTTTATATCAAATAAGTTAAGTAAAAAACAGTCTCTATGGTGTACGGCTTCAGGACACTTCAACTGAGCTAGCTAATTGTGAGAAAAGCGCAGAGACCAATAAATGATGAATGAATGAATGAATAAAGTCCATCTACTCGACACTGTTTTTTGAACTTTGAATGAAAACATAACGAAAATGACATTTAGTAGCGCTGGTGTTTATAGTATTAGAATTTCGAATATTGGCACCTAAATTCTTGATAAATTGAAATCTATCAATCAGTCTACCCCTACCGACACTCTCACCCTTATACTTAACCAATATATATATATATATAATATACTTACTATGGCCAGTGACATAAAGGATATTAAGAACTCTCAATCTCAACTCAGAACTGATGTTGCATATTGTAGAAACTTGCTACAGCAACATTCGGACTCGATCTCTCGGCATGATGACTTAATAGCGGCCTGCGAAACCAACATACAAAATATCCAGGTTACTCAAACAGAGCTGTCTTCTAACATTGCTAATATTGAA